TTAACTCACATGTGCTCAGGGTGTGCTAGTGATTAGATCACGTCAGCAGTGTGGCTCATTCTTGAAGCGAAGTTTTGTCTGACAGAAGATTAGATTCACTCTTTTGGATCGCTGCATTTAATCTGTGAAAGCATGTACAGAATTACGCATTCGGTGTATGATAGAGTAAACAGTAATAGCTCGTGCAGTGGCAGCTTCCCCCGGGTCCTAACAAGTTTTAATCTGTAGGGGGTGCTGTTGGCCTACTTCTAATTGAATTTAAAAGTAAAATAGCCTACACAAATAACATTTAGACTGTGTTTCTGATTAAATAAAGCATTAATTGATGTCATAAAATAATGAGTATGTTTTGATTTAAATGTCAGAAGCTATAGCTTACATGAATTTAAAAAAAAATCACAAACATGACAGTTGTAAATTAAATAATTTTATATATACTGATTTATTCATTAATGTGTAATGTTATATTTTTTAAACAAATTAAATATGTTTTATTTTTTAAACAAATCATAAGCTCTAAAATATTTTTTTCTCTTTTGAACTTACACTTGATTCTTTTTTGCTTTAGACCATCTACAAATGTTAAATCTTCAAATAAAATGTTAGGATTAACACTGCATCTTTATGGGGAAAAAATGCAGTGATTGATATATAGTTTATTTATAGTTATTTTAAAGCTTCGAGACTTGGTGTTGTTTCCAAACAAAACGAAATATATCGGTATCGGTATCGGCCAAAATGAGTTGAAAAATATCGGCATATCAGATATCGGCAAAAATTCCTATTCCTATTCCTATCGTGCATCCCTATTTATTATTATTATCATTTTATTTTTTATTTTTGTAACATTTAATCAAAGTCTTTTCTCTCTGGTGACGTATGCAGGGCTCATTTAGGGTGTGTTCAAACTTGTAGGCCGGTTCTTGGTTCTTTTGGTACAGATCAAAAAGGAAAATGATAGAGTCCTGGTTCATTTAGCATTCACACTGTCATTTATAACAACCAAAAATCCAATATCGTGCATCCCTAATCTGGAGGAGCAGATTCTGTGCAGGCCGTGTCATTTGGTACCAAAATTAATTTAGTGACTAATGCCTGTGCATTTATCTGTGACAATACATCTGATATTACATAATCTACAAGATGCCCAATGAGGAAACTCTGTATAGTCACAATTAAGAAGGAGATGATCTGAAAGTGATCATAATTTTATGATGGACTGGAACTATATCAGTTCAGTAAACACTAGTCATTAATATTTGCTAAGCTGTGCCTGTGGTACCCATTTATGAGTATAATATAGAGCTATATTAAGTATATTATTAAAATTTCACATTTCACCCTGAGCGGAACTGGTATAATATTATTAAAGAAATAAACATAAAGCCATTCAACATTCAAATGGGATTTTCTGGGTTTGACTGTGTGTGTGTGTGTGTGTGTGTGTGTGAGAGAGTTCGGTGAGCACAGAAGAGAGTCAAGGACAGTCTGAATGAGAGGAAATGAACGGAGACACACATTATACTCTACTGTGACCTCTGATTCCAGACTGACACTTGAGCGATGATAACGAAAGTAATTAATTTTACTACATGCACAGAAACTATTGGCATAAATAAGGGACAGCTCACCTGAAAATGGTCAAAGAATCATGAAAAAAATGCATTCCACAAAAATATGAAGTAGCACAACTGTTTTCAACATGATAATACTAAGAAATGTTTCTTGAGCATATTAGAATGATTTCTGAAGGATCATGTGACACTGAAGACTGAAAATTCAGCTTTGATCACAGGAAATTACATTTTAAAATATATTTAAACAGAAAACAGTTATTTTAAGTTACACGGGTTTGGAATGATAGAAAATCTTTTAGCTGCACTAACCTTTAAAAAGTTAAAGGTCATATAAGCTAAAAGGTTAAAGGTCATATAAACATATCCGACAGTCCGTGACACAGACAAACCCTACAGGGATCCGTCACAGTTCTTGAGAATGTGATTGTTAAAGATAGGCGTCAATAGATCACTCAACTCGAGCTCTTTTCCTCTCCTCACCGTTTCATCTGTTGCTAAAATGAACTAAAACAATACAGCAGGAACGTAGAGTACACACACCCCGTACAGTCATGGAAATCTGTGTCTTCTACGGTAGAGCTCTCATACACTCAGGCGTCTTTTGGGAAGCTGCTACACACACCTACATATAAACATCAGTAACCTTACAAGCACGCAAAGAACAATACAATTCCCATTACAAACATGAAACGCACACACACCCTTCCCAAAAGCCACTTCTGTATATTTCATTCGAACAGGGAGACGGCAGTGTGTGTGTGTGTGTGTGTGTGTGTGTCTGTTTAGATCACTGTATCCTCTGTGGAAATATGACAGGGAATGCATTTTGTGTCTGAAATCAATGACAACACTCATACAATACAAATGTTCGGCTCACTGTTACCTCATTTATCACTAGGAAATCGCTTTTATGATAAAGATCACTTTACATAAAACCTCCCTTTTCGCTGGAATGGATGGTAAATGGTAATCATGCCATCTCGCACGTCCTCCACATACACCCAGACCGCAAGCAGGCAGAACACAGGGGATGTTTCACTCACTCACTGTGACTCAGTCAAACACAGGCCAAATATACTTGTATTTTAAAACCTGACTGCCTACCTAGACAGCATTTGCGATTAACCAGGACATTAATTGGCCTATATTTTGAGATGATCAGTACAGTGTTGTTACTGTTAATTAAAACTAAAACTATTAGAAATTGTTTTCTTTAACTGAAATGAAGCTGAAATAAAAATTAAATATAAATATAAAAACATAAAAAATAAAAAATGGTGCATGGCAACTGACTGAAATAAAATAAGATAAATCTTAAGTATTAATGTTACTAAAACTAAATCTGAAATAAAAATAAATTAAAAAACGAATAAAAATTAAAACACTAAAAATATAAACTAAAAGATAATTCTAAATATTAATACAAATTTTAATAGGATATAAAAATACTAAAATAGCACTGGATCAGCAACAGCAAATTAGCTTTCATCTGCTGACATTTTCAAATATTTTTATTTTCAATTAGCTTTTATTTTTTTTATTTTCTATTTTCATTTTCATTTAAGTTTTAGTAATTTTGTTGCTTTTTTATTTCTATTTAGTTTTACTTGATTTGTGTAATTTTTTTAGTAATTTTAGTATTTTACCTTAAACATAGCTGCCAAGGCAGCATTTCTAATTTCTAAGTTTTTTTTTTATTTCAGGTTTTTCAATATTTTTAATTATATTTTTTATTTCAGCTTAATTTCAATTAACTATTTTTAATAGTTTTAGTTGACAATAACAGTTTCTGAGTAATCAGCAAATGATCATCCTGCTCTGTACATATCAGTATCGATCACTACAGTAGTTTTTTGGCCATTAGATTCATGTTCAAACACACCTATGATTCTCAAAAATGCTGATATACGTGATACTATAATCTCATATACTGAAGAACACACTTATCTAGTCTTTGATACGCAAGCACGGAAAAAAAGTGTCGACATCTGAAGGGGCCATTCACAGGTAAAAATTGCTTTTAACCTGACACAGTGCCTAAAAATGCAGTAATCATACAC